GTACCTTGCGCCCTAGATGGATGCTGGTTCGCACCTCTTCTTTTATGGGGCCGAAATGCATCGCGTAACCTTGTTGTTGGCTGAATAAATTGCGACCTCTTCGACGCGTTTTTACGTCTACGTGGAGAAAATTTCTCGTTATTTTTCCCTGCGAAAAAGGAGTGGTTGAGGATTTTTTGTGATGGGATGAATTTAAGTGGTACGTCGTGATAGTATAGGGTGGAAGAAGAATGGTTTACATTTAGAAATCTGGATTAATGTCAACCTTACCGTGGTGAGAAAAATAATAGAGATAGGCAATTTGCATTTAAGGGTTATTGACCTAAATATTTCACCTCTATACAATGATTTACTCTTTCCCTACTAAAATAAGAAATATAAACAGAATCCATTTCTAAATCCTCGGGCAGCGGATCATGGAGAGAGCTCCATAATTAACTTAATTTTGTATTTCATATCATTTTCATTTTCTAAATCTTACACTGCCTCTTTAAAAATTATTCTTCCAATACATGAAATATTTTTTTGTTTAAATTATGCATTTAACTTTAGGTTAATGTCCTTGTAATATTAACCCAGGTTCCACAGTTCAAGAATTAAACAATAAAATATAATTATCTTACGTAGCTCGAATACTTTTTGTTTCGAGTAACATTATAGTTTATTATCTAAGAAACGCATTATACTACATTTTCTACTTTTTTAGGAAAAGGGTTAATCAATCACTGTATACGTCATCCTATACTGAAAAGCCTTATTTAAGAAAATTAAATATCATTGAAAAAAGTATCGGAAACAATTCTAAGTACTTTTAATTCCATATTGAAACTAAACCCAAACCTAACTTAAAGCTAACTATATGAACGCAAATGAATGAGGTTTAATTTAATGTATATTAATAATAATTTCAAATAACAAAAAATAATACAGAATAAGTAAAAAAAATTGGACTTAGATATTATCTAGGTTACTTCATTATTTGTGCTTGGTAGATTTTTAGTTAATTAGTTTTAGACTATGTTTAGATTTAATTTTAATATATAATAAAAAGTCCTTACAATTATTTGCAGCACTTTTTTCAATGATATCCTACATTTTTAAATATCTTTTTTCAATATATTCTAGTTTAAAGAAAAAAAAATTAGAGATGACAACCAGATAATAGACAATTATTTTCCTCTTCATGTAATAATATTTGCAGCTTTGTCACAAATTTTTTCTTCAAAAATTTCATTTGCCCTATTAATTACAGTCGAAGTGATCGAATCTTTTTCTACGCTATCGATAATTGTGCAACGGAAGCGAACTCCTTTGGCGCACGTGTCTTCGAGCGTGCGTTACCGTTCAGTCGAAAGCAGTATCCGGGTAAAGGAGCAAGGAGCTTCAAATAACCAGGGATGTCGCGTTTACGTAAAAGCTTTCCAGCTACTTTGTAAAATCTCGGGATGTTCAACGAACGCACGTTCGCCATCCACGTATTTTAATCGGGCGTTCATTCGTGCAAGTATCCATTCGAATCGTTCTTGGAATGGTAGAAGCTCGAAACCATCGACGATGGGTATTTATGGAACAAAAGAGCCAACAATTCTACGTACGATCGTTCGACAAGAGCCACCTCTTTTTGCTTAATTAAAGATCAGCAGGAACGTGATTGATTTTCATTCTTTGAACGAGAAAGCTTTTGTACAGAAAGAATTTACTATGGGAATAATTCCCCATTTGTTTGAAGTTATTCTGTCACTTTGTTCTTGAGCCACTATCAATTTTATAGTAAAAATGAGGGGACAGTAAAATATTGACAAACATTTAAACATTCCATCGTAAGAGTGTTTGACGAAAACAAATGCCTCTATAAAATATCGTTCAAAATCCTTTCTTTAACTGACACGAATGCACTTCACTCGTGTCAGTTTCCTTCAGTCCCGTGTCACATAATCCATTCTCAATCGACATTTTCTACAACCTATATTTCTCCTGATCTCTATCAAATCAGTATATCATATTCATGCTCATGGAACAAATATGAAGAATTATCAAAAGGGGATGAATGTTAATAGGGATGTTCTGTCATTTTTAGAATAATTAGTGAACTTGCCAAAACGAATTTTTATATACAAAATTGTATATTATTACACTACATAAACTTTCATTATAAAAAAAATAGTAATCAAATTTTTGCTTATTTTATTACAGGAAATTTTTTAATATTGCAAATCTGCAATCTTATGTTTTCTATAAATTTAATTAATAATGAAATGTGCAGTTAAGCCTTTGAACTCGTATATCACGCTGAGGATGACATTGTAAAACTTATAATGCTTTTTATAAAAAATATTAAATTTCACCGTTATACATTAATTTATCAAATTTGACTTAAAATAAATACAAGTTAATGTGTAACAACATTCAACTTCAAAGAGTTAATTTATTATTTCATATAGCAACGAAGGGTTAATTTCTGTATTTTGCACACCCATCCTTTTTACCAGAATTCTTAAAACCATTAAAAATTCTTTGAAAGAAATTCTCTGGATTTGGATTCATCCAAATGAAATACCACCCTCGGTTTCACGCCTGGACATGTTAAAAACTGAAACACCGTCTAATAATTGAAAATTGTCTCAGAATCCCGACGTTAATTCCTTTTCTAGGGAATCGCCTCGCCGCGAAAGAACGGTTTCAGAGCACAAAAGTGCTGAGTGGATCGCGTGTTTCGCTAGTGTCGGGGGACAATGACGTGACAGAAGGGACGGTAGAAGGGGGTTGGTGCTCCTTGGAGAAAATGAAAATGTGTCTTCCGCGGAATAGACAGGCAGCCGGCAAGAAAGACGGCAAAGCTGGCGAAAGCCGTTTGACGCGAACAGCCGACGAGGAAGAAAAACTTCAAAAAAGGGATCGATAGACCCCGGCCAGACCCGTTCCTCTTCGTCCTGCTCCGAGGATCGCGAGAGGGTGCGAGATTCAACGACGTGTCGCACCGACGACACCCCCTGTTTTACTCTAAAAACCCTTTCAGACTTTCAGCAAACTTTTTTCTACTCACTCTGCTTCTTTTGATGAAAATTTTCAGGTTAATTCGTGTGATTCATGTTTAGAGGTGGTTTTCAAGCAACGTGGTGTTTTTAGATACATTATGTTGAATGATATTTTTTTACAATAAATCTTGCATGATGGTTTAATCAATTCACTCGAAATTTAATTCCATTAAATCGACCCAGTAGCGCAACCATAATTTTCCGACAGGGGAGGGGAGTCAATTCACCCTTCTGCCCCCTTCTAGATGCGCTACTGAGTTCTCAATGTTTTTCAAAAATTGTATATTATAAAACATCAATTTTTTTACAATTTCCAATCTATCAATTCTAAAAAAGAAGAATCCTGACGTTTTCTCAATAGCATAATATAATAACCTAAAGCAGTCATCCAAAGGCCAAAGTTGTCTCATAAATTCCAGCCTGACAATATTTATTACACTCGTCGAACTTTGTTGCCAGTCCCTATTTTCCAAACTCTGTATTACTGATCTCCCTGTCCTTTATCAAAGGATATATCCACAAGAAGCCGCGAAATCCAACGACACATTGAGCACAGTAGACACAAAGAAAGAAATAGGAAATAAGGTTGCTAGTCAGGCACCAAGGTGAGAGAGGATTGAGTTACCCTGGATGCGAGGGGTTGAACACCACGAAAGGAGCAATTTAATATCGTCTTCCCCAGACGGAATAAAAATACGAAGATAAATAGCCCGTAACTTTGCTCGGCTACCTCGTCTGATGGTACATCCACATCACGATCACCGATGGGTGTGTGAAAATTGTGAAGAAATGGAGGGCTACTCACCTACTGAAACTTATTGGGTATTTTATCTCCTACTAACAATAAGTGGTTAAGTTTTATTTTTCATTGTGTGAAGTCAAGATTAAGTATAATTAATAGGTTAGGTCACTAACGGTTTATGAAAAATCTAACCTCACGGAGCACTAAAAATATTTAGATAACCTCAACCTCGAACATTCAATGAACGAAGTTAAATTTGTGGATTATTTTATTCAGTATCTTGTGACCGAGTTTTATTTTCGATTATGTGAAGTCAAAATCAAATATAGTTACTAGATTAGGTCACTAACAGTTTATAGAAAACCTAACCTCACATAGCACGAGAAATAGCCAGCAACCCTGACCTAGAAATTCAATTAACAAAATTCCACTACAATAAAATCTAACCAAAAAGTTCTACAAATATAAAAGCTCAGTACTAACAAAAGAAACTTCAGCCTCTTAATTTCAACGGTAAATTTTGAACCCCAGGAATACAATTCCAAAAGGAATCTCCCTTAAGATCAATTCGAAGAAACAATTATTACAAGGTCGTAAAACTGAAATTTCCCAGAGAAAAACTAAAGAACAAAGAATAAAAGTGCAGAAGACAGTAACAATCATTGTTTAGCGGGGTAATTTCATTTTAACGGAATTTCAGCTAGTAAAATGGCCGACAGTTTACGATGGCGACTAAACATCTTTAGACAATTACATGTAGGTGGCTTTAAGTGAAACGTCCCGGTAGACATCAGTCACGTAGGATAAATTCTAGGGTTTTGGCGTAGCTGTCACGACGAAAAGAACTTTCAGCTGTCCAACTAGGGTCCACCAAATTGACCTGATCCAGATGTTTGGCCATTGGCTCGAGTAAATTGAAAATTTCACGCTTGACGGTTTTGCCGGTCGGTGATTCAACGGGATTTCATCGACAGATGCTGAGGATTTTGCATAACCTTTCAAATCTGTTGCCTGAATCCCTCGAAAATATAGCGTTATTTCCGCCAACCATCGTGAGATCTGGAAATAACCCCTTTTTGTCTTCGATAAGGACAATACTCTATGATTTACCATGAAGGGCTAAAGTCGATTTCCATGAGAATCAAACATGTTCGAAGAAATGTTGAAAAACAAAATTCTTTTATATGGAATATTTCAGAAATTCCTTTGCAATTTTGTTACAGGAGGAAGATTTGTGGTCACCTCCCAAGGTGATCTTCATATAAGGGCTGCCAGACCTGAGGATGGTAGGGCAACATATTCCTGTTTAACCCTTCACGCCTTGACTGGAGAGAGAAGAAGAAGCGAGCCTGCCACGTTAACAGTAACAGGCATGTCAAAATTAAAAAATAATATTAAGCAATATAAATAACAGAATAATTTAAAATAGCCACATTTTGAAATTTATCCTGTATAAACCCAATTTCCATGGTACAAAGTGTTTAAAAATGGAAGTCGTTTTTATTTTAATCGAAGAATAACCATTTTTTCCTTCAACTTGCTTTTTTTTAAAATAATATAATGGTGGCCTATGCCTCTTTTTAACCGACTTCGAAAAAGGAGGAGGTTACTCCATTTCTTTTTTCTGTTCCACTGGATCTCTCAACTGTAGTAATATTAATTTCTTGCTTCCACACAATTACCCCAATTTTAAATTCAATTATTAATATTTATCGAGATGTTCGATTTCTAGAACCAAGTGGGTCCATGCCACCCAGACTGATGCAGAGATCCCAGATCGCCATTTCCGCGGAAAGCGGATCGGATGTTCATCTCACCTGCTCGGCTCAAGGAAGTCCACCCCCTCAGTTCACCTGGTATCGCGATGTTAACGGTTGGTTTAATTAAGGGATCGTTTACTGTTCAGTTCAATAAGCGTTGATTTCAGAATTGTTAACATATCGTTCTCAAGCATGGGCATCATTATCAATATTATAGTAACTGTTTTCTGTGTTCTGTTATCATCCTAATTATAATTCCATTAGAATCTAAAAATCCACTGACATTCTAAATTTGTATGAATAAGACTATTATTGTTAAATTATTTTCAAAAATATTAATGAAACTTTTATGTAGCCATTTTTCGCAGACTTCAACACTTGAATAGCGCAGTCTAGATCAATCACGACCCAAATAAAATAAAATGCATAAAGGATATTAACTTGGAATTAAACCTATAATTTTTAAACGAAAGAAAAATTAATTTTAAAAAAAAGTGTAGAAGTTAGAAAGTGTAGTACAGTATTAAATCAAAGGGTCTCTCTCCATGGTACGCCGTCCGAGAATTAAACTGTAGTATATTACAATACTTTTATATGATCAAATTTCACTTTTGAACCGACTTCGAAAAAGGAGGAGGTTACTCAATTCGATCAGTATATTTTTTCTTCTGGCTTTGTTCAGAAAACGACGGATGGACCAATCGAAATAAAACCTTTTGCATCTTGTAGAGTATTTCTCCCACTTATCGTTAGTCCCGTCAAACAATATGTTGCATCTTTTCATTCCTAACGACTTTTATTGCAAAAAACGTAATGCTTCATTTATATCTTTCGGCGTTTAGACTGCAAGGAATGTACCGATCACGATGAAAGCTTTCATATCTAATAGGAGATATTTCCGCGATATCAAATGGGTCATTCGGTAACCGGCGTGTCATAGGTTGCCAACCCTTGAACTAGGATCTTCCGAGTAAAAGAAAAGTTTTTAGTTTTGTGCCGCCTCCGAAAAGGTTCAAATGTATTTAGTATACTATTTTAACGATTAAATAGATTTTATTAATAGCTGTAGAATATTAGTATAAATGAAATAGAAATTATTTCATACTTTTTAGCGCATTTTGAAGTCGGTTATATTTTTTGTTAAAAATTATTTTATCGTGTCATATCCCCTTATAACCAACCCAGAGAACTGCCTCCACTGACCACGAGATACGACACTGTTGTCTGTTCCGATACTGAAAAAACTGAGGCTCTGGCTAACAATTTTATTGATATCCACAACACCGCTTTCAACTTGTATTCACCGCGTTCTGTTGCCATAGATAGTTTTTTATCCACTCTGGCCTGTGACTCGGGGGGAATCCCCAGAAAAGTACATTTTACACCTGCTTCCATCGCAAAAATAGTCGCCCAGTTGGATAATCGTAAGACCCTGGCCTGACAGAATCACGTCACTTATGCTAAAGCACGCTTCTAAAATGGTTTTTTGCCAGCTCTATTATATCTTCCTTAGCTCGGCATCTCTTGGCTATTTTCCACGTGCGTGAAAGGTAATTCCTATACATAAACCCGGTAAACCGCGCAATTATATTACAAGTTTTAGACCAATTAGTTTACTCTCTATCCTCGGCAAGGTCTTCAAGAAATGTATATCAGAAATGCTCAATACTTATCTTAGCGTTAATAAAACCATTATTAATCAACAGTTTGGCTTTAGGCGGGGTCACTCTACAATCCAGCAGATTATTAGAATTGCTCAAATGGTTACTCAGCAATTCAACACCAAGAGTTGTGCTGCTATGGTCCTCCTGGACTTGTACAAGCTTAACCAGATCGGTCTGGACTCCGGCTTCAACCGGCTGATACGTTCTTATCTGGAGTCTAGGAAAATGTTCGTGCACCTTCGCGGCTCCTGCTCCAAGGAATATGATGTACAGGCTGGAGTTCCGCAGGGCTCAATCCTGGATCCCGTCCTCTTTAACTTGTATATAAATGGCATTCTTTCCTTTTCTAAAAACCCGTTATTTTTATTTTCTCGTCTTCAAACCTATTTAGACTCTGTTCTTGATTACTTTAGAGTGTGAAAACTAGTTGTTAATCAGGACAAAACAGAGGCTATTTTTTCACTCGCAGTAAAAATCATACTGCGTCTTAAAACAGGTTCCAATTTGTAGTAAACGGTCACTCAATCCCATGGTCAAATTCTGTTAAGTACCTTGAAGTTATGCTTCATCAGAGGTTAAATTGGTTTTCCGCGGTTGATGATAGCATTATTAAAACACATAAAGTTCTTGGGTTTCTCTCTGTCCGTATTGGTTATACATCTCCACTTAAAACTTCCATCCGAATCAATATTTATAAAATGTGTATTCGGCCAGTTCTCGTATACGGCTCTCAGATATAGTGGGATCTTATTTTTAAATCTATCCGGAAGAAAGTTCAAAGAGTCCAAAACAAAATATTAAAATTTATTTTAAACAAACCTAAGGATTTCCCCACCTCAACTCTACCCGAAATCACCTCGGTTCCTTTAATCTCTGACTTCATTAAAAAGCTAATTTCTAACTATCAAGTAGACAACCATGAATACCCTTTGGTCAGGCTTATTGGGACATATTAGGAGGATATCTCCTACAAAATCAAGGTTTGATTCTCGACACAGAGGACATAGTCCTGGACAATACATGACGATAATATATGTTACTTCTAGGCGATGATTCTCTTTGTCCTGCCGACTGCCCGCTCACAGCGCTGTACCAATTATATTAGTTACTCTTAGACCGCGGTTTTTTTGAAAATTTTTCCGCTACCATTATAACTAAAATATCTACTACTAAGATCGGTAATACCATATAGTAATTTTTTTGTCGGTAAATTAGACTTCGCTATAGGGACGACTCACGGGGAGACCGTCTGGTGCAATGTCGTCGACCTTTCCTCTACTTCTCGTTAAATTTATATTACAAAAGAAAAATACTTTTACAGTAAAATCTCTCTAGTTGTCCCTTTGTTGCCCTGCTGATAGTGTCCACCGGTTTCGTCCTATGCCTAAGTATTTCTCACCCAATGCCTATATTCTGTTCGTTTAAGTCAGTCACGCATTACGCGACGAGGTTTCTTTGATGAGAGTTAGAATTTGGTAGTTTATAATAAAGCACTATAACTTATTTAATATTAATTTTTTCTACCTACGGATTTTTTAAACATATTAGCCAGACTCTTCTGATTAAAATGAGACTAAACACGATATAATTTGAAGCATATTTACTTTATTTTTAACCGACTTCGAAAAAGGAGGAGGTTACGCAATTCGATCAGTATATTTCTTTTTTTCTGTGTTTGTTCACTGATTACTCCAAGATTGATGGACCAATCGGAACGAAACCTTTTGCATCTTGTAGAGTATGTCTCCCAATTGGTCTCGTTAAAAAAAAATTTTTTCATTTCTTCATTGCTAAGGATTATTATTGCAAAAAACAGGAAGTTTATAATCTCAACATAGGATGATTTCAATGACCATTTAATATGTTATCAGGGGGCATGATTCTGAACAACTTTTTCATTATGCATAATTAACGGAAAGTTTTAGTTTCCGAGATATTCGTGAAAAAATATTGTTACTACTACATTGAATTCTACGTATGCCTACGTGTCTCTGGCGGTGTATGGGTCAGCATGCAGTCTACTGTTTCTATATTATATCGCATCGACCGAAAAGTAGTATATATATGTATGTACATATATAATAACTATTGTTATTGCAAAATCCTATTCTTTAGTGCTACTCTGCAAGGAATGCACCGATCGCGATGAAACCTCTCACATCTAATCGGAGATATTTTCGCGATGATCCCAATTGTAAAAATTTGTGGAATTTGTTATTGTTAATAACTATTGTTATAGCAAAAACCCTATGCGCTGGTGTTACTCTGAAAGGAATGTACCGATCACGATGAAACCTTTAACATCTAATAGGAGATATTTCTGCAATTATCCCACTTGCAAAAATTTGTGGATTTTATTGTTAATAACTATTGTTGTAGCAAGAAACATATTCGTTGTTGTTACTCTGCAAGGAATGTACCGATCGCGATGGAACCTTTGACATCTAATAAGAGATATTTCCGCGATGATCCTACTTGCAAAAATGTATGGAACTTGTTATCGTTAATAACTATCGTTATTGCAATTAACCAATAAGATCGGTAAACCTCCTTACGGCATCCTACAAGTACTGCTCGTTCCACTAAAGAGTGTGAAATAAAATAATTTTTAACCAAAAATACAACCGACTTCAAACTGGACTAAAAAATGTAAAATAATTTATATTTCATTTATACAAACACCTAACAGCTATTAATAAAACCTATTTACTCGTTAAATAGTATACTAAACTATTTGGAGGCGGCGCAAAATGAAAAATACCAGAATAAACGATGCTGCCAATAACCATTTGGTTGCGGTATGGCGCACTTCATAATTAATAATTCGTAAGAAAAAATACGAAACGTTATAAATACGGTAAATAACCTCTGTAATTATAACGATTTGCATCAGTAGTGCAACACTTCCGATGTACATGAAATGGAATCGACTTCTTTAGTATGTGAAAGCCATGGATCTAACAATAAGAACCTATGGACAGAGCCCTCGGAGCGGTGTTGCCAAATTTGCGGCAGAGGGGCTGTCTCTTTCATGAATATGCCGCGATCGGGTCTTTCCGCCGCATACTCGATGATTCCAGATAGACCACACATTCTATACGCACTAACACGGACACCGCGCCGTGTGATACAGACAGATACATGTGTGGTGATAGAGACAGGTACATATACACGCTTCGTTTATATTTGGCTACAAATATAAGTTCTTAATAAGTTATTAAAAGTTTTTAATTTTGCGCCGCCTTCGAAAAGGTTGAAATGTATTTAGTATACTATTTAACTATTAAATAGATGTTATTAATAGCTGTGGAATATTGGTATAAATGAAATATTTCATACTTAATTGGAAATTTTTTCATACTTTTTAGCGCATTTTGAAGTGGGTTTTTTTAGTACAACGAACAGTATTTGTAGGATGCCGTAAAGTGGTTTACCATTCTTAATAACAATAGTTATTAACAATAACGAATTCCATAAATTTTTACAAGTAGGATCATCGCAGAAATATCTCCGATTAGATGTGAAAAGTTTCATCACGATCGAGGCATTCCTTACAGAGTAGCGCTAAAGAATAGGATTTTTCAACAACAATAGTTATTATATATGCATACTGATTTTGGGTCGATGCGATGTGTATAGAAACAGTAGAGAATCGGCGACTACATGCTGACCCATACACCGCCAGAGACAGGTGGACATACGTGGAATTCAATCTAGTAGTAACAATAGTTTTTCAGGAATATCTCCGAAACTAAATGAAAAAGTTGTTCAGAATCATGTTCCCGATAACATATTAAAGGGTCATTGAAATCATCCTATGTTGAAATTAGAAACTTCTTGTATTTTGCAATAACAATGAAGAAATGAAACATTTTTTTTTAACGAGATCAATCGGGAGACATACTCTACAAGATGCAAAAGGTTTCGTTCCGATTGGTCCATCCAGCTCAGAGTAATCGGTGAACACACACAGGATAAAATATAAAATAAAATAAAATAAATAAATAAATATATATATATATACTAATCGAATTGAGTAACCTCCTCCTTTTTCGAAGTCGGTTAAAAACAATTTGCATCCAGCAAAATCTAAAAATAAGGAAGTTAATCTGTTAATTTCTCGGCTGCTACGGCTCCCATGCTATCCTTCTCGTTTACGACTTTTCGTCGGCGCGGCGCGGTCAAAAGCAGCCGCGAGGCTTGAAGAATCGTGTCTACCCTACCCATATTGTCCACTTTCGCTTTTCAGCTTACGGACAACTAGGGAGATTTTACTGTACATCATCAAATCTTGTCAAAATATTTGATATCCACTCAACGTTTTCATCGGAAAGGGATGAAAATACTATGATTTTAACATCCTGTTTTGGCTGTATAATAGTATCGGGCATCAAGTAGCGGTTAACTCATTGTTGCAGGACACTCGATACCAGTAGAGTCGTTCGGTCGCATTCAACTATGGGGTGATTTGATGCAAATCCGTCGCGTGGACGCTCAGGATGCGGGAAGGTACATTTGCCGAGCCAGCAATCAGGTTGGTGAGCAACGAGCAGAAACACACCTGTCGGTCACATCAAAACTGAATGCCAGGATCCAACCCCGTGTTCAGGTACCACTTGGCTCGGTTACACAAATATTTCTCTATTTCGTATAAATATAGAATACCATGTTACATTTCTATTTTGTAAATATACAGTCTTGTGTAGCTTGAAACTATACAATTTAATTATTAACAGAATTAATATAACATCTTTTTAACATTTTATATGCTAACAGTAACCATGCTCTCTTTTGAATAATTCATCATTTTGTGGTGAAAATAAAAATAAAAGATCATTGTTATACATTCTCCCAAGCACGCATCGATTTAGTTGTTGAAAAAAGAGTAAATAACTAAATAAACTGCAACGCGTGTCATTAAACTCGACGACAGCAAGGGTAAAAGGGAGAGGGCCCTCAATGCAACCTCGTAAATCGCAGCACGGACATTAACTTTCGAGCACGAATCGTTAACCGTTTCCCGGTATTTACAGATCATCAATTCCGGAGAGTCCGCCACTATGAATTGCACGGTGGAGGGTTATCCGGTCGAGAGCGTCGAGTGGTTGCACGATGGTGTGCCGGTATTGACCGCGCAGGACACCAGGATCAGATTGCTGGCTCCTCTGGTCCTCGTGATAGGCTCGGTCGGACGAAAGGACAAGGGGATGTATCAGTGCCTCGTTAGAAGCGACAAGGAAAACGCTCAAGCCACTGCGGAATTGAAACTAGGGGGTATCTAATCGCATACCATATCTTGATGGTTCAGTAAGGATATCAAACCACCAATTTTTTATTATTTGTGCGGTCTCTTTGGTTATTAACAATAAAACAAATTGATAGACTTCTGGTTGGCAAAATTAATTTATCATCTAGTAATAAAATCTAGTAATCTTTCTTGCAAAAGAATATTTTGTAAGTTTGCGTGCTTTTGTAATCTAGGCCCTAAAATTACTAAAAATTACCCAAATTATCGAATTACCCAATACCAAATTACCATTTTATCAAATTACTAAAACATCAAAATACCAAGTTACTAAATTACCAAATCTCAAATGCTCCAAAATTCACATTCCACTCTCGTTTTATTAATCCAGACACTGTACCGGAGCTACAATACACCTTCATCGAGCAAGCCCTACGTCCAGGACCTCCAGTATCCCTAAGATGCTCCGCTACAGGATCTCCGCCTCCATCCTTCACCTGGCTGTTGGATGGAGAACCACTGAGTGAAATCGCAGCTGGACACAGGTGCGCATTTAGATCCCATCGATCAATATTCCGCTACTTAACTGTGAACAATGTCCGAGCAGGTACGCGATAGGACAGTACGTTGATCAGTCTGGGGACGTAATCAGTCATTTGAACATATCATCAGCCGGCGCTGAAGATGGTGGCCTTTATGCCTGCGTCGCTTCCAACACCCTGGCTACAGTGGAGCACAAAGCGAGACTGAACATTTATGGTAATCTTCATGATGATGAAAGATAGATTCATAATAAGGATAGAAAACTGATTATTGTCTATTTTAGACTTTTTTGAGTGATACTTTGGATTATATAATTTCAGGTCCGCCGTATATCCGATCAATAGGACCAGTCCGAGCAATTGCCGGTGTCGATACCACCATAGCATGTCCTTATTCCGGTTACCCTGTCACGTCGGTTGAGTGGTCCCGTGGTGGAGTTGAACTACCTCTCGACATAAGACACCGTGTCGATAGCGAAGGACATCTTACAATTGCGAATGTGGATCCAAACGATGCTGGAACCTACACTTGCATGGTTCGAGCTAGATCTGGAGAAACTGCCAGTAGAGATATTCGACTCACCGTTAGTAGTGAGTATTCCATAATGATCAAATTCTGTGTTGAAGAGGATGACATAGAAATCTTGATCCTTGACTTATTGTAAATTATTTGTACGTTAAATATTTTGTATAAATTATTTTATATTAACCTTCAACATTGGAATATATTATAATTTGCACAATGGACTTCCATAAATAAACTTAATTAAATTAAAAAAAAGATTTCTACGATATGGAAGTCATATTTTTCTTGCGGTAGAGAAACCGCAAGTACCTTTATGTAGATACATACATACACACGTGTATACTCGTTTTAACGAGAAACGCGTTTTTGTTTTTCTTTCTTCACGGTCGTCTAGCTTACATTCACAAGAAAGTCGCCAGCTAAAAGAAGGGAATTGCACGCCCGGAAAAATTCGTGTAGCGTTAACTTTCAACTTTTTCTCATTTGTCAGGGCCCGTCTAGAAGTAGAAAAGTAAGGTCGACTGATGAACACGTGGATGGACAGTAATGCATTCTGAGCGGAAATAATTAGCTTATTTTTTTATAGCTCTTAAAATATATACTAAAACACACGTTGCAGATAATTAAACAACGTATAATTAAAAACATAATTCTTTTCAGGTCCTCCAATTATGAGCCCCTTCAATTTCCCTCCAAACCTGCAGGAAGGCAGTCGAGCTCAGGTCACTTGCAGCGTCACTTCCGGTGATCTACCGATCTATTTCTCCTGGCTGAAAGATGGAGAACCATTGCCTTCTTCCTTACGCGTACGTCTTCCGAAAAGGACACTGAAATCTTTATTCACAGTTGTCGATGCTACGAGTATTTATCAAGCTTCTGGTTTCAGATTGAGGAGAGGGTGGCCGACTTCTTCAGTCTGCTCGTTTTTAAAGAACTATCTTCCCGGCACAGCGGCAAGTACAGTTGTGTGGCGACGAACAGCGCGGCTAAAGCCAACCACACGGCCGAACTTTTGGTCAAAGTACCACCGCAATGGATCTTTGAGCCGCAAGACATAGCCACCCTCCTTGGTAACCCCTTGAACGTACATTGCGAGGCGAAGGGATTCCCGCCACCACGTGTCACATGGCTGCGTGCCAAGGGTAGAAGTTCCAACGACTACCAACCGTTGGTCGATGGCACGGACGGCAGGCTAACCATATTGCCAAATGGTTCTTTGTGGACGGCTTCTGCTGGACCCCAAGACGAGGGTCACTACCTCTGTAGAGCGAACAATGGCATTGGGTCTGGTCTCAGCAAAGTCATCTACGTGTCTGTTCATGGTAAACATTTTTTCATTCAAACTAAAATTGACAATCACTTGTACTATCTTTTGTCACTGTCAAACAGAACCAGCGAGATTCGAATTTCAAAGCAAAAATGTTACCATTCGTCGAGGGGAATCAGTGACGTTGGACTGTACTGTGATTGGGGATAATCCTATAGAAGTGCAATGGATGCACAACAGCGATCGTCTGGATACAAATAGCCATAGACTGAGTATCAGTCAAATCAAAACGGACAATGGATTAAAGTCGCAGTTGTCTATAGGGAGCAGCGATCGTCAGGATTCAGGGGTCTACAGGTGTACAGCGGATAATGCTTATGGGAGGAGCGAACATCTCATTTATTTAGCTGTTCAAGGTACCTTCCTACGATAAAAAATATTGAAAAAATACAAATACAGTCTTTTACTTTCATGTGCGATCAAATGATCGTTTTTAAAATACGTATGTGGGAAATGTGAATTAATAACTGTGAAGTATTGGTATAAATGAAATAGAAATTATTTCATACTTTTTAACGCATTTTATTAGTGCAGCAAAAGCTTTTATTAATAACTGTCACGTCATTGTATAAATAAAATATAAATTATTTTACACTTTTTAGTGCATCTCGAAGTCGGTTGTATTTTTTGTTAAAAATTATTTTATTTCACACATTTTAATGGAACGAGCAGTATTTGTAGGATACCATAAGATGGTTTTGCGTTTTTATTAATCAGCTAATAACTAAAAACCAAAAAAAAAAAAAATACAGTAATCGAATTTAGATTCTTAATAAAAATTTTTGCAAGTGGGATCATCGTGGAAATATCTCTTATTACATGTGAAAGGTTTCATCGCAATCGGTACATTCTTTGCAGAGTAAACGTCGAAAAATATAAATGAAGCATTACGTTCATTGCAATAAAAATCGTTAGGAATGGAAAAATGCAAAATTTTTTTAACGGGACCAATCGGGAGACATACTCTACAAAATGCAAAAGGTTTCGTTCCGATTGGTCCATCCGTCTCGGAGTAATCGGCGAACATAGAAAAAAAAGCAAAAAAATATACTGATCGAATTGAGTAATCTTCTCCTTTTTCGAATTCGGTTAACAAAATCTATTGTAATATTTATACATAAAAGAAGTAAGTATTGAATTGACACGAGCAAATGCTACTGTTCCATTTAGAGACAAATATTCTACAATCATTGACGAATCAATTCAACCCAATACAGATAATGGTTTAATTGTGTTTGTTTTACAAATACAGAAAGGCCAGATCCACCAGCCTCATTGGAAGTCATAGAAATCGGCTCGCGATCGATACGATTGCTGTGGAAAAGGGCTTTCGATGGGAACAGTCCGATACGAAATTATGTCATTCAGTATCGGTCCCTGAATCACGGTTTGGCGGATGATTGGAACCCCGCGAAAACGCACAATGTCACTTACACACCCGGAAGTTCTAATAACGGAAACTCCATCCATCCCTCTCAGAATGGTACGTAAATCCATTTCACGTTTATTTAAAATTCTATTTCAAAGAATCCTTTCATTTAATTCCATTTAGTTTCATCATTAAATGTATCATATTTTTCAAATCATCATTTTTTAATGAATTTTTGATGAAGTTTTGCGATGTTCTTTAAAATTTTGTTAAATAATTTAGTCAATAAAATGTATATTTTCCATACAGGTATTAAATTGTTGGAGAAATTTTCTAAAATAAAATTCTCTCGTTCCCTTTATTCTAACCCAAAAGATTAATATTTATATTGAAACAATGTTGCATCGTTGAAAATAGAATGAAAGTTTTTAAAAAATTTTTATAATTTATAGATTTGACGTTTTTTATAATCTCTGTCAGACTTTTCTTCGTTTGACATGCTGTTAATTTGTAATCTCTATTGATGAATTATCAAATATTCACAGGATTGTCCCCTTTTGAAACAACCAGTGATGATCAGGAAATGGCTCTTGTGGGTGGACTCCATCCGGCTGTAACGTACACCTTTCGTATATTCGCTATAAATTCCATAGATGTGAGCATACCCACTGATCCGGTGGTGGCAAAAACTCAGGAAGAAGGTACAGAAATACATATCATTATTTAAACCATTTTATAAATCTTTCATTTTATGTTCTTAATCATTTTGTTGTAACTTGTGTAATAGCACCTACTGAACCACCACAGAATATTAAAGTTCAGTCTGCTGGGCCTGGAGAACTTATGGTTAGCTGGCAGGTAAAAGTTTATTACATTTAATAAACTGTATTTTAAGTGCAGATCCCTTAGATCATTATAAATAGTAATAATATTTCTACAAAAAATTGCCATCACTAATAATTAATAATAAAAATTACCATCACTAGTTATTAATTTTTCTAATATTAATAATAACCTAGTGAAACAGTAATAATATTGATATAGATAAAATGTTAGTTCTTATACTTTGAAATTGAAGAATGCAAGAGTTGAAAATTGATTCACAGCCGCCTCCAAAAGAGTCCTGTAATGGAGATTTATTAGGCTACATAGTGACATGGTCGGAGCATTCATCTTCGACGTCAGGTGTCAACCAGAGCAAAAGTTTGACCGTGAACGGATGGGCGACTACAAAAGTGCAACTCACTGGTCTCAGAAAGTTTACGAAGTACGATATATCGATCAGAGCTTTCAACAGTATAGCCAGCGGTCCGGCTAGCATTCCCATTGTTGGAACTACTCAGGAAGGAGGTGGGGCAAACAGAAATTTTCACCGACATTTCAATTTCAACAAACAATAAATCAATTGCAATTATTCTTACCATTTCAGTACCAGAGACTCCACCAACCCAGGTGTCCTGTGTTCCTTTATCTTCCCAGAGTGTAAAAGTATCCTGGAGTGCACCACCACCACATCAACATGGTGGAATCATTCAGGGTTACAAGGTGTACTATAGACCAGTACCTACTGACAATAGTAAGTGATTCTAAAATTAATTTAAAGAAAATTAATAATCTATAATGATATCCTGTGTTTGTTTTAGTGGATATTTCCACAGTGGGTGAAGTAAAGAAAACCTCCAGTGTGGAAACCTACCTGCACACTTTGTACAAATACACAAACTACTCTATTAGGGTACTGGCTTATACAGGAGCAGGGGATGGTGTCCTGAGTTCGCCAATTTTTTGTACAACAGAAGAGGATGGTAGGAATAATTAATATACAATTTTTAACAAAGTGTAACACTAGTTAATGATCACTAAATTAATATATTGACCTTTTTTAGTTCCAGGACCTCCAGCTGGCATCAAAGCTTTAGCATTAACGGCAGAAAGTATATTAGTTTCGTGGTTGCCCCCCTTGCAACCAAATGGGAACGTCTCCAAGTACACAGTTTACAGCAGGGAAGCTGGCTCCAGCAACCACAACACCCACACCATGCACGAACCTCCATTATCGCCCACAGATACACTAACTATGGAACTTCGAGGTTTAGTTGAGAGGTAATTAATCTAATTTTGCAAAATGACTCTCAAATCGCAAATAATTAAAAATATATATATTTCAGGCAATTGTACGAATTTTGGGTGTCAGCAACAACTGGACTGGGTGAAGGAGAATCAACCACCATAGTAACACAAATTACAAACACCAGAGGTAGTATTACCTTCCATTTGTATTTTATGAGTTGATTAATGTTAATTATTTTTAAAGCTCCAGCCAGAGTGGCTTCATTCTCACAACTTCTGAGAAGAGCAATTAAATCATCAATCACATTATCATGTTTGGTCGTGGGCAACCCTACACCTCGTCCAATTTGGACATATAGAAACAGTCAGGTATCTACTGGTCGTCATTATGAACTGACTGCTGATGGTCATCTTAACATTCGTGGTTAGTTTAAATGATTTAATTCATCCTTATCCCTAACCTCAATATCAACCATTTCTATGAATGTACAAAATGAATTTCAGGATTAGAGCAATCAGTGGCAGGGAACTATACTTGTTCAGCCAGCAACTTATTTGGTAATGATTCCGTTACTTATACTCTGGTTGTTGTGATGCCCCCCAGGACACCAACTTTAGAACTTCAATATACTACAACAAACAGTATAAGACTAAGGTGGAATCATCCCAATAATGGTGGTGCTACTATTCAAGGTGTGTATAACAGTTTGAATCATCGAATTATAAAAGATCATGATTATATCAATCTCTGTTACACTCATCAGGCTACGTGTTAAGCTACAAGAGGGACCAAGGTGGTTGGGAAGAAATAGCATTATCACCTGAACAAACTGAGTTCATTTTATCAGGATTGAAATGTGGTTCTTCATATTTGGCACATTTGACGGCTCACAATCGTGTGGGTACTGGAGATCCAAGTCCTCTGATCAGTGCAACAACAAAGGGAGCTGGTACTTTTATTTCTCTTCACGACAATAAATTGATTCCTTGGAGCTTGTACATTGTTATAATTCATTAATACTGTTTACAGCTCCATTGCTACCAAAGGAACGAGACATCATCTCCGCCAATGGAACATCCGTAAAATTGAACCTATTATCTTGGCCAAATGGTGGCTGCCCCATACAATACTACACTGTAGAGTACAAGGGACGTATCAGTACAGAACCATGGATTCTAGTAGCAAGTCGTGCCACAGAAAACCTAGTTATACGAGACTTGAAGACTGCCTCCTGGTACAGTTTACGCCTGACAGCTCACAACGATGCTGGGTCTACACAAACGAAGATGGAATTTGCGACAACCACTCTCAATGGAGTCAGCATCGGTCCTCCAAATGATCTCATCATGGAAGATGATGTGAAGAAAGCTATACCTAATCAGAAAGTGCTGTATGTAGTTGTGCCTCTCATATGCGCCATAGTACTCGTTGTTTCAGCTGCCATTTTGGGATATGTGATGCTGAAACGAAGTGGCAGGTATGTCAAAATTCCTCTTTAATTTTCCATTACTGAAGATGGGTATAACTATTACATTTTAATATATCTTTAGGGCTAATTACTTGGGAGAGATCCTTCCTGGACAGCAACAGAATCAGCAGTCTGGATTAGGACTTGTTCAGCTACAGCAGCAACATCAGCAACATCATCATCTTTCTAGTTGTATGTCAACGATGCAGCTGAAATCTACCGCTGAAAGAGATAATAGACGAAATCATCAAGTGTATACTAGTTCACCAGTGAAACAAGAAAATCACAAGGCTAATGATCATGGATCAGGTTCATTTCGTTTCATGTTACTCATATTCTATGATAATACCCTTTTTTAAACAAACATCTTCATGTTATTCTTGCTCAGAAATGTACGAGATTAGCCCGTACGCAACATTCAGCGTCCCAGGACGAGAGAATCGTTCAGTGACCACAGCCACTCTCGACTACACCATGCAATTTAAAACATTTGGCCATTTAGAGAACGAAGACATCAATACTATTGACTACGAGAGGTCCAGTGTGGACTTTGAAAGGTAACTGTTTTCTTTCAAGCTCCTGAAACGCATGTGTTTTTAGTAGACGTCCAATTCCTAGCTCGATGCTTGACGCTCCTCTCCCTGACCCTTTTCTCTTCCTCTTTCTGGTGTTCTTTCACGTGCAGGTCTAAAACGCCAAGATGGCACAAGCAACGATACTTCCCGAGCATCGCGGAAGCGGAGAGCAAGTTGCGCTCCAGTCGTCAGGGTTCCGGAAGTGACACGTCCGGGAGTCCTTGTGGAGAGTGCGCCGGACCTAGTTACAGAGTACCAGTGAAACCTTGCAGAGGTAATCTCCTTAATACAATCTCTAGGAAGAATTATAATGAATAGAAGCTGAAACCTGACATTTCTTACAGATGTATTTTCACGAGGGGTGGAATCGAGTACAGAGTCCAATAATGAAGGTTCACCTTCGCTTGCGAGACGACGAAGCCGACAACCGAGCCGGTCTACTCGCAGGTAGCCAAGGTTTGTTTGTTTCCACATAGCACTCAGTCTCCTGATTATATTCAATATTCGTATCACGGTTTTGTGTCGATCAGAAATGAATAACGGGAAAAAATGTAAAGTTTCTTGGGAAAGCCTGAATTCTTCGTGTGAACTGTACCACATTGAATACACAGCTTCGCTTTCATCTTAATACTTTGCTTTCCTAGGAAATTGAGGAAATTACATTTTTCTATTCATATCATATACAGAGTATTTACATAGTAGACTCATATCATCATCATTATCTATCATGTATATTACTTGCATGTTGTCAACCCTTTGAGGACGGAACATTTTTAAGCTTGCACAGAGTATTATTAATTTAAAATAAAAGAAGTAATAATTTCATCCTTCAAAGCAATATTATAAATCTTTACTGTCTGCGCTTATAGATGTGCTTTGTGTCAAGAATATAACGCAATACGTACGGAATTATGAATTACTACGACAATTATGTTTGGAGACATATATAGGGTGTCCGCGTTAAAGTGTGACACGAGTTTTATTTCGTAACTATTGATGACACGAAAAATTGTCTATATGGAAATTGCACGGTACAATGGGGTCTATGTTTTGGCGTAAATGAAAATTTATTTACATTATTAGTTTAAAAGATATGACGGTCAGGTTTCGTTTTTTAAATGGAACTATATATTTTCTTTTCAGATCATGTGTTAGTGCTTTTCAAGACGAATTCATTAAGCTTTAATGTATACACCTGATTTTAATTAGTTTTCAAGATATAACGTTTACAAATTTCCCGATTTTCAGTGGATACGTCCCGGTTTGAGTAGCAAGTCGTAAAAGCGGCCCTATTGTTGCGGTTTCTTATTCTTTAGGTCTGCCATTCCTAGCGTAGACCCCCGCTGTGGCGCTTACCACTACAATAGGGCCACTTTTACGACTTGCTACTCAAACCAAGACATATCTACTAAAAATCAGGAAATTTGTAAACGTTATATCTTGAAAACTAATTAAAATCGGGTGTATACATTAAAGCTTAATGAATTCGTCTTGAAAAGCACTATCACGTGATCTGAAAAGAAATATATAGTTCCATTTAAAAAACGAAACTTGACCATCATATCTTTTAAACTAATAATGTAAATAAATATTCATTCACGCCAAAACATAGGCCCCATTGTACCGTGCAATTTCCATATAAACAATTTTTGTATCATCAATAGTTACAAAATAAAACGCCTGTCATACTTTAGCGCGGACACCCTGTATGCGTCGGTCGTCCACAAAAGGGTTTTAAATTAATTTGGATAATCATATGAATACAGTATTCTCTTGTTATATTGCCATATGAGCAATTTGACCTTCACACTAGTGCAGTACTTTTATCATTATAGCCTATGAAAATAATATACAGTAAAGATTCGATGAAAGCGAAATGCTCGGAACCGTACTTTCGCTTACATACTACAGTTTCTCCATCATTAGAAGTTTGCGACCGCTTCGAACATAGAAAAGGGCAGCTAGTGAAAGACGGGCTGTCGATTATTACGATCGCGGCTTCTCTTCCTTTTTCATTTGCTATCCTTCCCTGTGTCTGAAACTTATCGTCAATTTAACAAGTAAATATAGTCCAAATTATATCGTGTTTGGTGTTATTTTAATCAGGAAAATGTGACAAATACCCAGGAATACTCTTTATAAGAAAAAAATGATAACAACGTTCAGTCGTTACATTAGTATTACCTTACTAATATATATATTCGATCCCAGGTCATGTTACACTACTCGGCGAGCGAACTTTCGGGCATCTCAAGGGGTATACGTCTCAGTGGTAGGGATGAGTTCTTCGTTTTCATCGAATCTTGACTACATTTCTATCTCTCTCTCCCCTTTAAATGAGAGCTTGGAAGCTTCAAATATTTTCAGCTCATACAGCTGTTACGTCCCCCCTTGCGGGTGATTATTCTGCTTATAATATGCGGCACAGATTCTGCCAATTAAAGCGCTTAAGCGTACCTTGACCTACCTTGCGGATAATACGGGGTACAGGATAGGCATTCAATGATCTGCGTACACATATACAAGGTGTCCCATTTAAATTGATATGGAAATTGCATGGAATAAGGGGGCCTATGTTTTGGCCGAAGTGAAGAATCTTTTGCATTATTAGTTTAAGAGATATGATGGTCAAATTTTGTTTTTTAAATAGAACCATATTTTTTTCAGATCATGTAATAGTGCTTCTCAAGACGAATTCATTAAGCCTTAATGTATACACTTGACTTTAATTAGTTCTCAAGATATAACGTTTACAAATTTCCCGATTTTCAGTAGATACGTCTCGGTTTGAATGGCAAGTCGTAAAAGCGGCCCTATTGTTGCGGTAAGTGCTACAGCGGTTATTCTTTGGGTCTGCCGTTCCTAGCGTAGACCCCCGCTGAGGAATAGCTCTCCACGGCAATATAACGAGTCTACTGTAGGTACTTATTAACAAAAGGTTCAAAGGTTGTCGAATTTAATTATCCAAATTAATTGAAATGTAACTTCAATCGGATACAAAAATGAAGATGAATAAATCTTCGACTTTCTTAAGGGTTTTCACAAATGTGTTTTGTTCAGTTCGGTGGAGGACATGACGTTATTGCCGCCAAGCGGGTTCAGCGACAGTCGCGAATTGAGCGACGTGGAGTGCGACCGTGATCGTGATCGTGATCGTGATCGTGATCGTGATCGAGATCGTGATTGTGATCGTGATCGTGATCGTGATCGAGACTGGCAGGGACTATCAGCGGGAATCCGTCACGGTGGCAGCTTGGGTAGACTGCCAATCGAGGCCGTCGAATCTATGCTCGCTAGGTATCGACACGAACCTCCGTAGACCGTAGTAAGCTGATACCAAGTTAAGATTCATTCTCTGTTCAAGTGAACTTCAAAGAAAGGCTCCTGAACTCTTCTCACATTTTATTTTTCTTAATTATTTAGACGCTAGGTCAGTAATCCTCGACACTTTAATTGGTGAACTTGTAAAAAGGCTACTCCCACTTCAATTTCGATGATTTTTAAATATGTTGTAAAATTCTTCATTGTAAACAACTTTTTCCCTTTAAACTATACAGGGTGTTTGACAACAGGTGGGAGATTTTTAAGGGGTAATTCTAGGGATCAAAGTTAGACGAAAATCAAGAATAACGAAATAGCGTTTGCGGCTTTGTTTTCCAGTAATTAACGTTTAAAAATTCAAGTAAAAAGCGCCTAAAATTTGTGCCTCGTCATCCTTCATTTTCGTCTTATTTTGATCCCTAGAATTAAAAAATCCCTTAAAAAATCTCCCACCTGTTGTCGAACACCCTGTATGTCGGACTCGATTAGTTTACGAGATATTCGCGAAGGAACATTTTTACTACTACAGCGAATTCTGCCTATACGTATGCAGCCGTCGCTCGCTTGCCTATCGTTTCGATAAGCAGCACCATGCAGTCCGGCTCTTATTCATACAACGGGTGAACTGAAAATTCAAATTATAACATTGGAGTCGCGCGGTCAGCCGCCTAAAAGAGGCCGGAATATTAATATAACCTGACCTGACCTAACCTAGACGAATACATAATAGGACAAATAAAATACCGCCAACATTAGTACGGACGGCAGACAATCTTGTAGTGCACTGCTATTTTGGTAATATTTTTACACTATTGAAAGTCTTTAAAGCTTAGGTATTTTGTAAATGGGCAAAGATTTTAGATTCAGTAATTCACACACACAAGTACAGTAATGCTTCGAAATAAGCAAGTCGCTATCCCCTCTTTTTTGTTTGAAGTCGCCCGCAAAGTGAGAGGTACGAGAAACGAGTGAGAGGTCCATGAAAGCGCGAAGCCGATGTTTAGGGTAATAAATTTCACGCTTGACTGAGCAGTGACATCGGTTAGTAGAAGAAGGATGGAATATATATAATGCTTTCTCAGTCTGGTATATTTGCTTCGAAATAAAGCATAGTGCGAGAATGAGAGGCCATGCTATATTCTATCCTTGTTCAAAAAATAACATCCCTGCTCGGCCGATCACTTTATGATTTGCCGCTACCTCGGTTCTCTCACTCGCTTCTCGCGTTCTCTATCGTCCCGTTTCGAGAACAAAGTCAAGCCGAATAGCATACCTGCTTCGAAATAAGCAACTGTTCGGTCCCGAGCCACTTGCTTATTTCGAAGCATTACTGTATTCTTTTTGCTCTTTTCGCCATGAGTACAGTAGTGCAGGTTTATTTCCGTTTCCACAGCATACATTCAGTTTAACCAACTGTGAATATAAAAAAGGCTTTAATGTTGCCAACCTAACATACACAATGAGTAATACCAATGTTGATGGAATATAATTTTTTCTCGCACCCAGCCGCGGACGTATACGTACAGGCGAAAGTAGTAGTACTCATAGTTTTTCGCAAATATCTCGCAAACTAATCGAGTCGGACATATAGCTTAGAGGGAAAAGGGAGAGAGTAGCTTTTCTACAAGTTCATTCTTTATTTTAGTCAAAATCAATTTAAATGAAATTAAATTTAAATTCTAATTGATACCTTGAATTAGCAAAAACTAGGTTCAATTATACAGGGTGTCTCAAAACTCCTGTAACACCCGGAAATGAGAGGTTGCTGGGGTGATTCTGAACAACTTTTTCCTTTACCAAAATGTTAGTTGAAGCTTCGTTTTTGAATTATTAACGAAGAACGCTGGCCATTGAGAGCGCGCGCTCAACATTTTTCAGTTACACTTACCAGAATGAATGCATTGCTAAATATGTCTTAGGCTTAGAAAATATTAAATCTGTATTAACAAAGTACGATGAGAAAATTTCAGAGTGAATGATGACGACTAGAATCTTGCCAGGGCTACCAAGCTCGTATAAACACTTCCTAAGTGCTTGGGACTCAACGCCTGTCGAAAGTCAAAGATTGAATGAACTGGTAAGCCGTTCACTGATAGAGGAAGAAAGGCTGAAACTACATACAGAAACAATGGAAGTGGCTCTCGTGAATAAAAACATAAGTAGGAATAAGTTTTCAAAGGCAGTACCTAAAGGTCCTGCCAGCACACACACCCAAACAGGGAAGGCGAATGTGTGCAACATTTACAAGAAGGAAGGGCATATTGCAAATAACTGTAGACTGAAAAAGGATTATGATGCAGGGGGCTGCTTCATATGTCATAGAACGAAACACAGAGCCAAATTCTGTCGTTTAAAGAATAAAACTGTAAATCAGGGCGCAAGCCACATACACAACATTAGCCCTAATCAACAGTACAGATTGGATGGAACCCGTTTGGTCAGGAGCAAGCCAGCACATGTCATTCAACAGCCAGTGGATGGATAATTATGAGAGTTTGACTCAACCTATTGATGTTAAAGTTGGAAATGAATAAATAATAAAGGCAATAGGACTAGGCAATTTTAAAATGAAATCATTCAATGGGAAACACTGGAAGAAAGGCGAAAGTAGAAGTGTTCTGCACGTTCCAGAACTGAAATGTAACTTGTTCTCTATTAGCTCTGTTTTAAATAAAGGATATTGTTTTAAATTAACACGAGATGACTGCAAGCTGAAGAAAGACGGTGAGATTTTTGTAACCGGAGAAAGAAATGAGAAACTATACAAATTGAACTTGGAGATAGATACAGAAAGTGGAGAATCAAGCCTTTCTAGGTAGAGCAAGCAAAAACACACAAAACCTAAAAACCTGGCACGAAATGTTGGCACATGAAAATGTTACACAAGTAAAGAGTATTTTAAACGAGTTGGATATAAAATTTGTAGATGACGGACTTTTCTCCTGTGATGGATGTATACTGGGTAAGCAACACAGGATGCCATTGCGATTAAGCGTGAGTATTGCAGAGCGAGCTAGCGAAATGGTTCATGCTGATGTGTGTGGACCAATGGAAAAATTTTCGGTGGAAGGAGCACGTTACTTTCTCTTAATCAAGGATGACTTCAGCCACTATCGGATCGTTTACTTTCTAAAACAAAAATCAAAAGCTAAATAGAACATTATAAACTGTATTAAACTGATAGAAAACCAGATCGGAAATAAGGTTAGAATCTTAAGAACAGATAACGGACTAGAGGAGGTGAACAAAAAGATAAGAGCATTTGTAGAAGACAAAGATATAATACATCAGAAGAGTTGCCGTTACACACCACAGCAGAACGGTCGGATCGAAAGAGAGAATAGAACAGTAGTCGAAACTGCCAGGAGTATGCTGCAATCAAGAAACTGTGGAAAAGAATTGTGGGTCGAGGCAGTATCAACAGCAGTTTACGTACTAAATCGAAGCGGAAAGAGTTCCGTAAAGGGTAAAACTCCGTGTGAACTATGGAAGAAAAAGGAACCAGATATTGTGAACTTTCAGATGTTTGGCACAGAAGCGTTTGTATTAACTCCCAAACAGTTGAGAAAGAAATGGGTCCCCAGAAGCAAAAAGGGAATGTTTGTCGGATGTGAGGAAAACACCAAAGGTTATATTATAGAATATATTTTGAAAAGGAGAGGAGGATTGAAATCTCCAGTGACGTTATATTTAAACTAAAATGTGATACGAACAATACTTATTTAGAAAGTAAGCCAGTAGTAATTCTAAGAGAAGAGATTGACGAAAACGGTAGAATTAGAGAAAAGACTGAAGAAGGAAGTAGCATTAGAGAAGAGACCGAAGAAAACAATAATATAACAGAAGAGACTGACGAAAACAGTAGAATTAAAGAAGAAACTGGGGAAAATAGACAAATAAGGGAAGAAAGTGAAGATACCCGAAATTTAGAGCAAAATAACACATTATATGGAAGAGGACATCAAGGAACGACAGGACCATACAACCTGAGAAGAAGAGAGGAAATACGGCCGCGTATTCGACCAAGTATCGAAGCCGAATGCTGCAGTACCGAGAAACAGAATAGCACGAGGTTTTTGGTTATGACTGTACCTTCCCTTGCTGACCTGACGTTCAGTTGTCGGTGCTGGGCGGAGTGCAGGTTTCAGGCACTTTTTACTCGAATTTTTAAACGTTAATTACTGGAAAACAAAGCCGCAAACGCTATTTCGTTATTCTTGATTTTCATCTTATTTTGATCCTTACAATCACCCCTTAAAATTTTGTCCACCTGTTGTCGAACATCCTGTATATTAGATATGTAGCAGTAGTTTGAAAACAATTATCTATGTTTATTTTAGTCAAACAGATATTTTTGTTTTTTTTCCTCTTTTCAGATTTGATGTTATTTTTTTTTTAATCGACTTCGGAAAAGGAGGAGGTTACTCAATTTGATCAGTATATACTTTTTTTTCTGTGTGTGTTCACCGATTACTCCGAGATGAATGGACCAATCGAAACGAAACCTTTTGCATTTTCTCATTCCAAACGATTTTTATTATTACAAGAAATGTACTATTTCATGTACATTCGGCGTATGTTCACCGATTACTCCGAGACTGATGGACCAATCGGAACGAAACTTTTTGCAGCTTGTAGAGTATAACTCTACCTTTTGCCTTTTGTAGAATATGTCTTCCGATTGGTCCCGTTGAGGTGACAATGTGTAGTAAAGACAATTATTATTTGTATTCGAAATAACACTTTATTGAATGAACGCGGAACGGATAGGTCTGCACGCTTCGAAGGCAGACATCCAAGTCCCGCTCGTTCACTCTTGGCGTTAGGGGGTGCGTCGTGTAAACAACAACGAAAAGAAAGTTTTCTCGAAGAGGGAAGAAATAGGTTTTTCAGACGAATGTTTTGTTCCCTGCCGGGTACGCCGCACAGTGGGACAGAACGGCTTTCGGCGATCAAAATTCTGTAACTTCGGTTCT